ATTAAATAAACATTTATTTAACGTTTAATCACGTTTTTTAAATATTTACTGAACATTTGCTTAATGTTTAAAGAAATGTTTTTTTAATACTTGAAAATGGTTAATTTATTTAAACAATTATTTTATTTTAAAGGATTTTCTTAAAAATGTTTAAAAATGTTTAAAGATGTTTTACTATAAGATTTTATTTATTGCACTTTTTATAAAATAACACTATCATTTATTTGTGAACGTGACGGCTAAAAACTAATAATATTATAATATTAATATTTAAAACAAATATTAAAATGACACTAAAATTACGTACTTAATTGTTTAAAAAATGTTAAATAAATATTTTAATAAAAATCAAGTAAATAAAAATATAATATTACAAATATTAAAAATTTCAATTTCATTATAAATATATTAATTTAAATAATTAATAATTAAAACAAAGATTAAACTTGTAACGTGCCGTAAACAACGGGCACCTTCCCCACCGCGCACATTTTTCCCGGCACCGCTCCATCCCGCACCTACAACCGATTAGTACACTGCAAAACATGTCCACTCTAAATTCCGCGAAATATAACGGAAAAAAGTGACTTTTTTTCCACTTTAAGTAAACGTGAAATTAAAGCGGAATTGCGTATACAGGACATTGTCCTAATAATAATGTCCTGTATAAATAGAAGGGAAATTTAGTAAATTTTTAGTTTTTCCCCGAGAGAGATATATATATATATATTGTAAAAAAGAATTTATCACCTGGAAGACAATATTTTTTATTTCACAACATGTACATTATACATATACATATGTATAAATATGAAACATTATATATATTATATCAATGAACTTATAAGTTTATATTTCTTACCAAAATGTTACAAGATGCTAAAAGATGATGGGTAAGTCAGATTTTTTATAAAGTGTCAGCTAATCCCAAAACGACGGCCTCTTCCGCAGATGCAACATCAATAGTTAATTGATCATTGTCACTGATTACAAGCCAGGCTGTTGTATCATTGTGAAAAACTTTTGGTCCAGGAGAAAGAGTAATTAAATCTTCAAATGTTGGAACTTTCTGTATAAATTACACAAAACAAGAATGAAAGACAATTATATACTTTTTAAGGATATACTAAAACCACAAATAATTTTAACAATTCATTATAGGTTTTACCTGTTCGAGAAAATAGTCCTTTGACCTTGGATAACTTAAAAACTGAGCTGTAGTTGGATTGTCCTGTTGCTCTATTAAATTACTGGCAGATTGCACGTCCGAAGTATTTTCTTCATATGATACAGTACCATTGCCCTCTGATATTGTATTGCTGGCACATTGCACAGTCAATGGAACAGTCTGCCGAGAATCTTCATTGCCCATCAAATTTTCTATCGTCAGTATTGCAGTATGCATTAAGGAGATGATAATATATAATCGTATAATATATAATATATAACCTGTAATAGAACTTACCTTCACGAATACAAGTTTCGTTCACACGTTCGTGTAAAGGCGAATGATGCCCGCAAAATAAACACATGTTTGTGTCATCCGCGGGAGGTAATTCAAATTCATCGCAGTCACATGCGGTACATTTACCGCGATAGTTATTACCGCGTCGATCCACTCCCATATTGCTCCGCAACAATTAGCGACAAAAATATTAAGCTTAAACTGTGTAATCGAGGTGAAAACCGCCGAGTAACCTAAGCGACTGAGATGCTCTAACCTAAGCGACTGACAAAGATACTCTAACCTAAGAAAATCAGTTGCTATGGTAACTCTTGTCCGCTTTAAATATATATGACCAAATCCTTTACAATATCCGTTATAATGTCTGTCTTAACAGTATAACCATTACGGTCCTACTTATATAAAGGATTTTATATAATCAATAAAGTGTCATATTAAGAATTCCACCAGTCATGCCTAAATCAAACGGACATATGAGAAATCCGTTTTAATATTGAGTATCCGTTATAAAATATAACGGAAATATAATTGTCCTTTATATCTAAAACGGATATGTTTTGCAGTGTATATAAGATGGCAAA